TTTATGATAAATGTGTATATTTTTTGAAGTTCAATATCATAACAATATTATAGTGATGAGAACTTTTTTAAAATTTTAGTATTATAGATATCTTGAAATCTATAATTAAAAAAAAAAAAAAAACAAACTAATTTCACGCACGAAACGTAAATGCATTTATCTACGTTTAACGGTAAAATTCAAGTAAAACTACATCGTAAAAGTTATTTAAAATGTACACCATTACTTAATATCATGATTTTTCTGGAGTATGCGACAAAGAATTTTTAGTGGTTTTTTATTGTACCGGGTGAAATTTATATTTTATTCTACCGTGATAATATCCGAATAATCCGTATTATATTCAAATTACCTCAAAAAAGGGTAGGTATACATAGAGTCTGTTTCAAATGGTTACAGTGTAGGTAATTAAAAACTCACTTCTACATGAAATAACTTTCTAAATATAATAAATTTTAGTTTGTTAAAACTCAAAGAAATTGTTTGTTAAAATAAATAATTTGTTAAAATTTGAACGAGTTTCGAATTAATCCGAAATTGTGAACTCCTTTAATTCGGAACCGTTTCGACACAATAAAAACTTCTAATGTATAATCCTACCGTTTAATTTGTGACGAAGCAGTAAAACAGCGATTGTATGATCATTCCGTTTATTACGAGTAAATAGTTACGATAGTTACTAATTAGTCAGATTGTTAAAAATTTAAAAATATGTTTATATTATTTCATAATTTTTCAAGTGGAAAGCGCATAATATTTTACTTTTACGCATATATTCGTATAATATTATACGAATAATTATTATTCTATAAAAGAGCGATAATTAGTCCGCGGGGGGAAACGAATATAAAATTATTATTTAACGATAAACTTTGTTATACGGCTTTTTTTTTTTTTTGCAGTTGTAAACTATTTTAATTTTATAATCGAAAATAACTTATACAATAATAATTGTTTGAGTACAGCTCGGTTAAAGTTTTTTTATTTTACGGAATAATTATAGTGGATAATTATTAACTAGCGTCCGACTAAGCATAATGTGAAATCGAAATAAAAAATAAAATGTATTTTGTTTTTAAACGGCTGAGGCGTTAGTCAGGCACCGCGCAATCAAAACAGTCGAGTTAAACTATAATGTCGAAATACATACATAGATGCACACATACATAGATGCACTTATACATACATACATACATACATACATACATACATACATACATACATACATACATATATACATACATGCATACATATTGTATTCAGTAGCCTATTTATAATTTGCTAGGTACCTAAGTATTTTCCGACCATAAAAACCGTTTTTTAAAGAACGGTTGTTCAGATAAAACGTTATCCCAGCACTCAGATTTGGAGGTGTGAAAGCATACCGCGACTGACTGGTGGTGAGCAACTTTTTTGGTTACAGTTTGTAGTATAAAAAACTAAATACATTATAGTGCGTATTTGCGGTATGTACGATGTTTAATAAACGTTTGAATAATAATAATAAAACATAAAAGTTCAAAAATACCTACTCTCTTTCTGTCACTCAATAGATTTATTACACTACCATTACGAACATGAATAAACCGTAAGTACCACGAAGGAAAAGTTTGCCCCTTCTCGAGTTTTTATACAGGTGTGTTACGGTACTAAGTTGGAATAAGATAATTCTAAACGACGTGATTGTCAAAAAACAAAAATGTATGAACATTTTGACAGAAAATTAAACATGGAAAGTACTATTCGAACCCGTGGTTCCAAGTTCTAAAATGCTAGAAGTCTGTCTAAAAATTATTGTGTACAACATTTATTTCGCGCTTTTCTTGTTCAGTGCTCGCGCCTATCTCGAGAATTTGGGAACCGCTGGACTATAGTAAAACACGGGATTATAAATATTTACACATATTTTTAATGGAAATCAAATATTATTCAATTTTTTCATACTCAATAATGTGTGCATACAGTTAAATAAGTTGACTGTCAATATATTTATATATATATATTTGTTTATAAGTCACTACGATAATATTTGTATAATCTTTAGTCGGCGCCTAAAATACAACCATAATATTAAACGCAGTACCAACATATTTGGGGGAAGGTTTTTATGAACATATAAATTAATTATAAGAAATGAATAATTGTACACAAATATTAATTAATAATCGTTGATACGAAAATTATATTGCTTTGTTCGAGAATTTAATCAGAATTCGAAAAAGCAGAAAAAAGATACAATTTTGTCGATAAGAAAGGGGGTTTCGAGCACAGGTTAAGAGTGCTTAGTGTTTCTGTGTTATATTTTTAGTTTAATTTTTCAAAAAAAAATAAAACTTATTGAGGACCGTACAAACGTTCAATGAGTTTCGTTAGAAAACTTTAGGGCCGAAAGATAACGAACGTCGTGGATAGTACTTTTCAAATAGCACGTGCAGTTTTTACAAAAGTCGTCAATATTGTTTTTATAAAAATAATAATAGTAATTATATTAACAAGCTAGTGTTAAAATGTTTGTTCTAAAATCTATAGTTATAATTTTAATTGAGAAAATTCACATTTAATTGTCCATTAATATCCGTATTATTAAGTCCATCGCGTACAATTTTAGTAAAACATGAAAAAATGGAAATTTGGGATTTATAGGAAAAAAAAATATTCATATTTGTACGCAACAATAAATTAATGCTAACGAAAAACGATTTTGAGCGAATGTCGGTTAATCATGTGTTAATACATTTTTTAATTTCAAAATTCGTGAAACTACAAAGGAAATTCAAACAATAAATGTCTCTTATCGATTTTTTTTTTTTTGGGGGGGGGAGAAGGTGGGGAGGGGGATTGAAGCAAGTTTTCTAGTAGAAAAGCTATAACAATCAAACACAACGAAACATACGCATCGCATTAAAAACCTATACATTCCGTACACTACGGTCAGAATCTAAATCATACCAACCAATAACATCGTTATAATCTTAATAATTATTGTCAGTATACGATTTTATATAGGTTTCCCTGCGATTTCGTTAATGCGGTTTTAAATAATTTGATCTTGCGCATAAAAAACTATCGCACGCGTAGAAAGGAATAATGATTATAAAAGAGGCACGAATATATATACATATACATTATAATTATTATATATTTTACAACTTGAAATATAATGATCGCCGCTGCAAGCGAATATAATAGTATTTCCATTCGTTTTATTTTTTCGAACAGGAAATTAAAAAAATAAAAAAAAAATACTCGTGTATCATCATCGCCGCGATACTCTCGCGCGATTAATATTTATTTTTGCACCCGTACAATATAAAAGGGTGGAAATTTAATCAATTCCGATTATTTCGGATAACGCGCGCGTAAACGATAAAAACACATCACAATTGTATACTTGTTGTACAACCGTATATTATATTTGTACAGAGGCACCAGTCGGTTTTACAGAATATTGTTCCGTATACCGCCGCCGTATCCATTCTGTTTGAATAATAATTATAATCATTATATGATATGATATTTAAGTCCTACAGTAGTTATATATATACTATTATCATGTCGTGATTTTGTTAAATTTTCGCAAGTCTCGAGTAATGTTGTTGTTTTCATAATAGTATACACCTCGACAGGTTTCATAATAATAATTGAACCATATATGTGAGAAACGATACAACGCCAGTAGAGTATTATTGAAATATGAGTAAAAGTGTATAGAATATGTTTTCCGTGCATAAAATATGTGACCAGACTTATCTGTGAAAACTTCAAAAAAAAAAAAAATTAAAATAATATTTCATTTGAAGAAGGTTGCATCACTCTAAAATCATTTTATTGCAATAATCTATTTTTTGTCGTATCATCAGTATAGAAAGGTAAAATGATTATAGGTAAACATTCCTGATAGAGTTGACTCTGTTTATTTGAGAATAAATATAAGTCTAGTCTATGGCGAAAAAACTAACTGTAAACTTTATATAGTGTAGTTTGGCCACGCAGGTACAATAAACATGTTTAAAACCATTAACATAGTATATTGTTTTATTATCATTGATTACATTTTTAATACAATAACCAGGGATCTTTAACTTTCAAATAGTTTTTAGCCCCTTCTGAACATTCGCATAATTTGGTAATGTCGGCTTGTTATACCCGTCCCTAAAATTGATATTAGGTATTTTGTTAAGATAGAGATCTGTAAAATAACAATCCTAATTCCTGCAGGCTGCTTACTTTGGACTGATCATGTATTGTTTTTAACTTTTAGTTTATTATTCGTTTAAATATATTGACCGCTTGACATAATATTATTATTGCTTTAGTTATTAATGTATTAATAACATCAAATGGAAAATTAAAAAAGTTGTTTCAATTAAAATCCCACTTATATTAGGTTCGTACAAAATAATGTGTAAATACAGTTAGTTAATATTTGACCATTATTTAATTAAATCGATTCGTCATTTGCAATAAGACTATCCTACTGTACATTTAAATAAAACAATTATAATCATGAAAATGTTAAAGAAATTACGGTACTCGTAATAAATTTTTTTATTTAATTTTATCGTATTTGACTACACTAGTATATATTTTCTTTTTAATGTTTTTTAAAACATTTTTCTGGACATATTGAGGAAAGGCAAAAGGTAAATTACCCTTCTTATACTTTCTTAATGTTATAAACAGACTAAAATATCATGCAATTATGCAATATTTGAAATTTTATCTACCTAAAACTATATTTTTGTTTGCAAAGCTTTGAGTCATCGATTAGTCGTTGGCCACTTCGATATAGTGAAATGTTTATTTTAGTTTTCCGTACTTTCGGATCATTTTTTACGGGAATGTATTTCAACCGTTTTCGGCAATAATTTTTTAAAATATTATTTGTTGATATCCCAAGCTTTGCACATTGTAATAGTATTATTATGATGTACCTATACGCTGTGTGGTGATCGATAGCAAATCATTTTCGTTTATTTTTATTTACCGCCTTCGCCGTCGTTTCCCCTATCCTCGGCATCGGTTAACGTACACACCTTCGCCCCGTACACCCATAACGGACGAGGGTAGACGATAGACGACCCGGACAACGTCATCACGTGCCCACGGAGGACGTTTTTCTATTTCCCTGCAACCGACAGCCGCTGATATACGAGCACCTGTTTGAGGGTTATTTTTCCGCTCTTATTTATTTTGTCCCGTGAACACGTCCACGCAAATAAACGGAAACGGTATTTTTACGACGACGACGTATTATAAGATTTATACATATATATATATATTCCATTGGGTACATATATAATATGTATATACATATTATAATATACTTATTATTATAATATATAGCTCACCCGTCGAGCCGCGTCCGTACAAACGCGGGTCGAAAAAGGACGTCGTATTTTCTCTCGCGAAACGATCCCGTTATTCCGATTGGATTGCAGTTCCTGCTATATAATATTTATTATGGAATAAAATTATCTGGTCTGCAGAGTCCGGCGTTAAAAAAGTCTCATCTGTCGTCAACGATCTGAACCCATCTGGATTCGACCTCTTCTGACCACTGTGGACAACGGTAAACACATTTTTTGCGTTTTGAATCGTGTACGACAAACAGACAAATGCATGGTTGCAGAATGCTCAAATATTTAAATCAGTGAAACAGGAAAAATTCACGATGCGCCTATTCAGATCATAATATAATTGTTTTATTTTTATCAGGTACTATACAAGTACAAAACCATAACATATTATATATTTTTAAAAATGTACGCCACATAAAATTGTCTTTCCTATCAAAACGCACAAGTATAAACTATAATAATTAGAGAATTTTACGGTATAAAAATGAACTACGAAAATTAATATATATGATTTTTAAGGCTAAAATCTGATATTGGTTACTGGCTAATACGTGTATAGTAGCAAATTAACTCGATAAATTAAATAAATTGATACCAGTATTATAAGTCAAAACTAAAATTTAGAGAATAAAACGTATCAATATTAAAAACTAATTTTGTTGTTTTAGTTTTATAACCCTGCTTAAAACTGGTAAAAAAAAAAATCGTATAAAATTAAACAAATGAGATCTTATATATTTTGTACATTGTTATTATATTATCATTATACTTAATAAATGTGTGTATCTGTTTAAATTGATGATTTACTGTAAATATATATAATTTGTTAAATTATTTAATATACTCGTGAATTTTCCTCTCCCCACAAAAAAAGAAGGGAAATTGTATCACAAGTAGATTATTAAATATAAATTTTATTATTTCTCTTTTGAACGTTTAATAATTTTGTTTTATTTATATATAACAGTTGTTGTCATATGTCGGTTTATTCACGGTTATGGATTCTTTATGTTCAAAAAGCTTCGATACAGATTTTGTCTAGAAAAAAACTGATAAACTAAATTTTAAATATAATTGTAGAATATGATGATGGTTAACTAAAAATGTAACTTCTCCCCCCTCAAAAAAAAAGGTACGAGTATTGTTTGACACGAATCCTAAGTTGCTTTGTAATAACCGTCAAATGTAGTAAGTATAAACGACATGACTTGTGGCACGAAAGTTATATTAGGGTTACGAGTTCCAGACACTTGGCATTCGCACATTATTTGATACACTTCGTCGTCTAAATTAGTCTTCTAAATGCGAGGTCGACCTTTAAGCACCACTTCAATAATATTGTATATTACAGTATACGTCGTAACTCCGTGCTGTTTAGAACCATCGTTTTAAAAATTCAGTTAAAACTCAGCGTAGAATAGGCATTGATCTATAAACTTTCCTAGTTAGTTCGAGCGTCTTATAAGTCTAGAATATATATATAAAAATAAATATTTGGATATGGCTTGAAAACGATCTGCGGTTTCGGATGAGTTTTGAAAATCCGGAGCGTTCGAATTTTTAAATTCCAATTTCTATTATTTTCTTAGACTACTAAACAGTTAAATTTTTGATTTTTTTTTTTTTTATTTTATCGATTTCTTGACTCGTAAGGTTACACAAGGAAAAATAATATTTTAGTTACTGTTTTCAGAGTAACTTGCGTTTTAAAAATAGCTTGCACTCATAATAGGTTCTTTTATTTGTTACCAATGATTTATCGTTGCTTTCATTGCGTGCTTTTATTGAAGTTTAAACTTAATAGTTGTACACTACCAACGCTTTCCACATACAAAAATGGCCGACCCACAGCGCGAAGTATGTCCGGCTCTTTTTTTTATTTTTGTTCTATTTTTAAATTTTTCATTCAAATGAGACCAAAATTGATTTTGTTCGTGAATTTATGTTCAATCGTTATTGTCGAAAATAATTACCTCGAATAATGGCGGGAAAAGGAAGGACCCAAAATAAATGGAATGGATACGATAGAAAAAAAAAGGGGGATACTTACATTATATTGTAGCCATGAGGTATATAAATGATGGGTACGATGTGATATAGAGAAAAGCTAAATAAATTAAACGTCTGACCCAGAATTAAAGAGATAGTGATAATGAGATAAATGGGATAAGAACAAAGACATGGCGGTAACACAATAATGTAATTTATTTGCAGTAAATACATAAAATATGTAATACTTTTACGCGATAGTCTTTGGAAATAAAACTATATAAACTTAATGTTCGATCCGTTGTTCGTTGTATTCGTGAAAAACCTATAGTTTTTTTTTAAAAAAATAATGATCTATAGTCATATTATAATAATGTTTTAGACTGGTAAATAATGAAGGGTTGGTACATTTAATGCACTAAAAAAATGACGAAATATGCACAGGTAGTAACGAAAAAACAATTCTGAGTGAAATTCCTTTGTCAACAATATATATATATATGTATATATATAGTATATTTTGGTAAAATGTTTATAATAATGTGCATTTCCATGACAAAAATGAATGTTTAAAAAAGATTAAAATAATAAAAACCAATGGCTACCTTATTCTTAATCTTTCAATCTTTTTTATCCCAAAAGAACCAGGTCTCCACGTTATCTCGAATATTAATGACGATTCCAAAAAAATAACCTCTATAAAGTTCCACCTAGAGAACATTTCCTTAAGGAAAATGTGTTATACATGATAATTGAAGTAAGCTTTTTGTTAGAAAAAAGGTTCACATAAAAAAAAAATAACAATAATAAAGATCGTTGTAAAAGCAATGCATTCTTCGCTACACTTAGAATCTAAAAAAAAATATTCTAATTGTACCTACAGTAGATATAATATATTATAAATATTTGAATTACCTAAGAAAAGTTCGTTTTGGATATTGTACAAAGACAGTTTATTTTAAATTTTAATCTACGAACTACGTATATTGGCTAATAGAAATAAGGTACTTGAGTTCATAAAAAAAAAAAAAAACATGACTACTATTTAAAAACATACAATAAGACGCAACCTATAAAAAATAATATCCTTATCCTAATACAATAAGATAAAATAAATATACTGTGAGGAAAGTATAGTATCGACGCGTTAAGTCAAAACTTCAAACTGAATATTTTCGTATTATAAATACGATTATAATATTTCGTCGTATTTTTAAACAGTTCGAATAAAATTAAAGGGAATTGCCAAAGTTTCAGGGATCTAAGGCTGTGGCGGGACATGGTAGATGTTGTATGGTTTTTCGAGTTCCTGTGTTAATAAAAGTTCGGGGGGTTAAACGCATATTTTTCATACGAACCTGCTAGTGGCACTATGCCAAAGGTTATAAAATTATATAGCGAACCGTGATATTTACATACACTTTTACGTTTAAACTTTTCACAGTATTATAAATACAACGGATTTTTAGGTTTTTTGTTTTTTTAATAATTTGTGATATTTAATTTTTTTTTTTCATACTTCTTTGAGTAATTATATTTCCAGTGAGAAACATAATGTAGTCATATTACTAAATTACTCGTTCCTTTAGTACACAGACAAACACACTAGAGATAGAAAAAAAAGTTCTTAATCAATTTTACCCCGAGTACACAATATCGACATTTTTACAAATGTTCAGAAGAACGAAATAATAACCAATTCAAATTCTCATTCCACGTTAAATTATAATAGTTCTCGTTTATCCTTCATCCCTTTTATAAATATATATATGTATCAATTTTAACATCTTGACGGTTTTAAAATAGCATTAAAAGTTTCGGACTGCTTTATTCTCTTAATAAAAAAAAATTAAAAAACACTCCGAAAAAATCGTAATGTATAGATATCAGACACGCTTGTATTTTGATATTCACATTGTCTGGAGTTCAAATTTCTCATAGGTTACAATAAATATATTATAAGACAAGTAAAAAAATTCACCGCGAAATTGTCTGTAAAAATACCAAACGACCGGTCATTCGTTATGTGACTGATTACCTACAAATATATAAATACGTTATTTTACTTTCCAAGGGTCGGTCACGGCCGCAGTTTTGTTTTTATAATGGATATAATTCAATATATATAATTATGTTTTACTATACAGGTATTATATTTTAAAGTGATTGATACGGGTCGCAAATAATATTGCATTGAAAAATGAAAATATATCATAACAGTGCGAAACAATATATTCGTATATTCGATGGCCGATTTTAATCGTTTATTTTTCGATGGCAGCTGTGACTGCTTATAATAATATAGTCAAAAGCGGATTATTGGAATATATTTTCATTGGAAAAAAAAAAAAAATTGTTGATTGGTGAGTCGCTGTACTGTTTTAGAAGTGAAGTTAGAATAGATGATACAAAAGCGTCATTTATTTATATTTTTACGCAATGATAAACCATTGCTCACAGAAAAGGATTCTGAGCAAAGTCGTATTTTATCCCTTTTCGATAATAAAAAAATCCACGAAAATCAATTGGCTGCAATATAGTAACTAAAAACAATTGGGTCATTTTACTCGAAATCCCGAACCTTTAGTCTTTTGTTTTTTTTGTTTATAATTAATGCGTTGGCTACAAAATAAAAACCCTACCCCCTCAATTTCAAAATATAATTCATTTATACGATAAACGAATCTTTCTAATTTTATTTTCACCTATAGTATAACTATTCACGTTACAATATTTTACCCATGTTGCTGCAGACAACACGGGCAGCCACTATACTTGTCAAGAAGACCGTCACAGGACAAAGGCCCGACCTGAATCGATGGATTCGATCGCCGTTTTCCAAGACGAGGCGGATATTTTGGAGGTG